AAAAACATGTTACCATGATCGAAATAAAATCTTTAGAATATTTTTTACTTTTAGTTAAGTTGCATATATTGCATAATTATATATGAAAAGAATAAAATATATAAAGTTCAAATAGGCGATTTATTTATAGGTTTATAATAAAGTGTACAGTCCAAATAATTAAATTTTATTTAGCATTTATATTGTTAATATTGATAACGTGATTATTGTAAAGTCCAACTCTCATTTTTACGGTAAATTTATATTATATTAAAATGAATTGATAATATGGATTGAATTAAAAAGATTGAATCGTGGTTAAATATCTTAATATCATAATTATACTATTTTTAAAAAGATATTCCATAACATTTGGTTCCATAATAATACTGCTTTTAAATATAATTGATTCCAAATAGCCGGATTTAGTGTTTAATCAAATATTATGGAATATCTTTTTAAAAATATCTAATTATTAATTTTTTTTGTTTATTATTTATATTTTATTTTTATTTTTGTCAATTGACAATATTATGTTTGATCACTTTGTGCACGCAGATAATTTTTTAGATAAAAGTTGTGAACTTAACAAATATCTTATGTGGTTCACAATCCATATAAACAATTGACATTTGTCAAAATTTATGTGATAACAATATTAATGCATTGTAAATGCTCTTATTTTGTTTTAAATAATTTCAAATATACTTCTATCAATTCCAAATAAAATTCATACTACTTAAATTCGAACATTTCGTACAAAAAATAAATCACCGACTTTATACCACAAAATCGGACATTTATTATTAACAACACATTTTTTATGAAAAAACAAAAATGGCTATCAGATACTTAAAATAAAATCATCAACTTTATACCGAAATTGGATTTATTAGTTTTGTCAACTTTATACCATAAATTAATTAAGTATTTTTTAAAAGTCATTTCTACATTTTATCCAAAATATTTTTTAGCGGCACGTAAATATTATTTATATTTTTATATTTGGTTATCTTGTCTACGAATAAAAAGATAATTATGCAACTTGTCTACGAATAAAAAGATAATCTTGCAACTCTACTATGCCAACAAAAAAAATGTATGTAAAATAACATAAGTATTAATTTATTATGTTTTACTCAATACATGAAATATAATATAGATATAAAGATTAACGATTAATTCTCTATAATTGCTCAATCAAGTATATATATTTAAACTAAGGATTTCGAAAGTTTCTATAATACCCCCATATTTGTTTAGTCATCCTAAATTTAAATTTAACTAATAAAGATAATAACCATAAATATTTGACTAAAAAGATTATGTACATTAATTACATTGATTTTTGTTAATTTACTATTTTTAGACAATAATTAATGAAATTGGCGGGAAAATATTTCTAAAAATAAATTATGTTAATCTTTATTATATATTAATAGATGTCAAATATTAAGGACTCTTATACTAATTATGTTGTTTAAACTTGCTTCAATTATGATAACCGAGGTAATGTACGCGTCTTGTTTAAATTATGATAATATAAGTGTACATGAACTGTATTATAAATTATTGGTTTATTTGTTTAGAAGTTTTATTAATGTGGAAACTTTATGATAAGATTAGTGTGGAATTTTCATAAATGTAATTCTAATGTGGTCCTAAAATATTTGATTTTCTGTTACAATTTCTCTCAATTGTTGGATTGACTCAAATATCATTTTTTTAATTAATTTGTTTTGAAGTTCGATTATTATAGCTCTTACCCTTATCTTTGAAAATTTGAAAAACCTTATCTTTAGGTTTTATTATGGTTCTTATCTATTGTTTTAAATAGTCTAAACATAGAAAGTCAAATAATTTATTTATTTGGTCAAAGTTTCTAAAAACGAATTTAACAACCTCTATATATATA